TTCAGTTTGTTGAATTCAGATGGCAATATGATGATGTCACAATATCCAATCAGCCATTATGACCTATAAAATCATATTTACAACTCATGTGCTTTCAGAATATGTAATAAAAATTGGGGGTCACCTTTCATCCTAAAGAGCTGTTACTGTTTAAAATTAGGCCTGATTTTAGCATATTTTCACTGTATATCGGAACAAATGCGCACAAAGGTCACTATGTTTGATGCATGCGTACGGCATTGTTATTGGCCATAGAGTGATTGAAAAGATTGGAAACTTGTCAAAACAATGTCAGGAATGTTTAAACTACTTAACTATCATATACGTTTGATAAAACAATGTTTATTTACAGTACATGGATTTCATGCTGACATTTAGTGGGAATTTCAAGTAGATTTGTGAATTGTAATATCAATATCTCTTTATGAGATTACGATCTTTGTTTGGACAACTGAAAAATACATCCCTGGGTCACGGCACAAGATCGCAAAATACAATTAAATTTTGTAAACACACACAAGGGCCTCTCTGTTATTATTAATAGAAATGTTTTAAATATTAGATTCAAACATTTACAGTATTTCCAATTTCTCAAACTTACTATATAATCGGAGCACATTCTTTGGAGATTATTTTTTCAAAAGCCTTTTGAGATAGACCGAGTTTGCCATTGATAGCTAGGAGCACATCTGTATGAGGGCGCTTGTCAAAATCCCGAATAGGAAAGTGTTAGCATATCGGGGAAAAAACCAGGGTCACATGGGGCCTTTTCCTTGACTTTGATTGGGTATACTAAAAAACAAACACTTGAACGATGTTCTCCGATAATTTATGATTCTGGAGATGGAATTCTCACCTTCAAAAAACTTAGCAGTGATATGTTTAGAACGTTTCCAATTTTAATAATATACGAAAAAAATAGAAAATAACTCATTCTCATATAAAAAATATGAAAATATAGAAGACTAATACAGTAGGACAGCCGATAGACGATTTGTCCGTTATATCGCGATTTTTCGATCTTACTTCCGCATTTGCTTTGCGCAGCGCCACCTATCATTTCAAAGCGTAACCACGTTTTAGCGTCGCTTACCAAAAATGCATCAGCTCTATTTATAGTTCTCATTAATAGATAAGGCCCGCCCATGGCTACCTTATATGGTAACAACATTTCCTAATATATCTAATTTGCTATTAAACCAAAATTTGGGTTTTCTTGAAATAACCTACACTGTCATAAGCATTCATCGATTAATGTTGACACAGGCGAAATAGTGAAAATCTGGTACGACTTGTCCATGCATTTATTTAATATTTTCTCCAGAGTCAGATTTGCGTCCCAGCTAATCAAAATGTTTTTTGAAGTGTTGATTTATCATGTTTAATCCTAATTTAGTCGGGTAAGACTTGTTTCAACTCTGATCAAAAATTCTTATTCATACCTCTAGGCCGTAAAATGCTAGGCAGTTTTTGGAGCATGTGAGCAGGCGGTAGTGGTAGCTGAGCGAGAACTGTAGCACTACAGCGGGCCGCATTGCGGTGCGATGCATTTAGATGCAAAATTTGAGGAAATAGTACCTTCAGATGGCCGGAAGATCTCTTCTGTTGACGAAAATGCCTGAGTAAAGACCATGAGAAATTTTCTGGCGCTTCATCTAGACTAAAATGATGCTGTGATAATGGTGAATTTTACTGTATAAAAGTGTCATTTCCGGCCATCTGAAGGTACTATTTCCTCAAATTTTGCGTCTAAATGCATGCATTCCACGTGTGTTAGTTTAGGATGGTTTATAGACCTTGCTTATATTTCTATATAATAATTATTCTGTAATTACAGCCTAGGCCTTGGGATTCATGTTTATTTTCATTAATTTATGCTATATAGAGCCTAGGGATGTTTCATAAAATAATATTTTCAGGCATATGTATGAATGTGAGTGATTTAATTAGTAAAAAATTTTTACTAAAGCATATCTCTTGATAGGCTACAGTACATTGTATTCTATTAAGTATTAATTATTGTATCTGCAAATATATTTTATTTTAGGGACATGAAGTTGTAAATCAACTGTAATTATATATTCAGACTTGAACGGTTACAGACCAACAGTGTCAGTTATGAATGTGAATTTTAAATGGTGACAAGGATTTAACAACTGAACTCCAATCTGCTCAGGTCCGAATGCCTCAGCAGATCCCTCAGAAAGCCTGCCTAAGAAAAAAAAAAACATGCTGAAAAACACTACTATGTTAAATCAATATCAGTAATTAATATTGACTTTACTTTTTAATGTTTAAATTATGAAAACATCATCATTAAATTTTAAAACAGATATTTAATAAGCAAAATAATGATATTTGATGCTTATTCAAAGGCCGTATAATGAAAATTTTTCTTATAAGAAGCAGATTTTGTAGTACCCGCATGAAATGTTGCTACCCCACTTCTACAGTAATAAGTTCCGGCTTAGATACTAAAGTCTCTCCCATGGAAATGCACGATATCTATATAAATCCTCTGAAGGAGTTTTCTTTGGGGGGAGGGGGTGTGGTATATATCGTGATATCATAATAAATATGTATGTTTTTATATATAAATGTTAATATTTAGAAGCAGCTGTATGAAATGTTTATTATTATTATTATAAATCATAAAGAAAGAAAATGATTAATAAATAAAAATAAAAATAAAAATGTTGTCTTCTTCTCCTTTATAAAGTCCTAAAAATCACATATATTGAGTGAAATTGTGAATGATAGGGTGAATTTGTGAAGGATGGTACTTAATTCATGTACAGTACACTTGTCATCAAGCCAACAAGATACAGATTTCAGCAAGATTGGAGCCATTTTTAAATAGGCATTATCCTCGCTGCATATTTACGGGTACGCGAATATGCTAGGCCCCCCAAATGTGCACGGCTTAGGCCTCAGCCTCGCATACGAATCGTAATAGAAACCAACAGAAATGTTATCGATAAATTACTAATTGGGAAGACTAAATATGTAATAATATTCATTTTAATGGTATATATTTATTTCACACATATTAATTATTGGTGTAACAGACGGTCTTGGAATTGCTCTGTATAAATACGATCTTCCTGATTATGATCTCCGATGTTTCCAAAATGGAATACACGCTAGTGTTTGAGTCCAACGAAATGGAGGTAGCCTTAGTTTCCAGAGTCGGATTTGCATCCCAGCTACTAAACTTTTATCCTAATATTTTAAATTAATATAGATTATAAATTTTTATAGCAGGGATTTTGAATTCATTTCTGATCAAATTTTTTTTGTATTTCAAATTAACGATTTTCCAGAGCATAAAATCGTAAAAATTGTGTCACCATGAATTGTCCATTAAATTACACTTTATCGTTTCGGTCAAAATACACCAAAAGTATTTCACTGTATTTTAAAACTATTTATAAACATATTTCACCATTATGTTTGGTTTGGTAAGTAAGCTGTTTGATGAATTAACGTTTTTTCAAAAACCACTAAATTTCGATAATTTGAACTAATTTCGAAAAATAGGGCACCCTCTCCTAGGCGAAATTTGACATGATTTTTCCAGTGGCTTTCCTACTGAATAAATATATTAACTCTCTGTAATGATATTTTTGATGTAATTTAATAAGACTCTGTGCACCGAGTGTTTAAATAACTTAGGCAGAGTCTGAGCCACTCTAGGCCACGATAGGAGTAATATGTCCTCACGTAGCCTTCCAGAACGCGTGAAGAGCGAGGAGACATCGCGTCTAGGCTTATCTAGGATGTACGCGCGGTACATGCATACGGTGACAATTTAAAGATAGGCCAACGTGCGTAATTATTTTAATCGGGTGTCAGTTTCCAATACTTTGGCCTAGCTATCCCCTGCTATTTAGCGTCGATAAGCTAACGGCGGCCAGGCCTATCATCAACCCACAGTGCAGCAGCGTGGTCTACCGCGCTAGAGCTTAGCTGAATTTACCTTCGATAAAAACAAATTACTTTAATTGCTGGCATTCTTCCACTTAACAAAATATTATTTTAACTCTTATTCGAACATCTGTAATATAATAATACTATAATACAGTAATTGGTCAATGATGACATCATCAGTGGTAAAGACCATTCGTAAAATCGACTATTCATAAAATTGATGTTCGTAAAATGGACGTTTTACTGTAATAGAGAATTAGTAAACTCTATTTTTCTGATTGTTATTTTACTACCCTGTGTCAGTTAGCATGTCAGAGGATTAGCTAGCTTGGCCAAGCAAGAAGCCTGCTACAGCAGCAAGCACTACTAGGCCTAGTAAGGGTCAGTTAGCTATAGTACTACTACTACTGCAGTGCTAGGCCTAGACTAGCCTCGTCTGGCCAGCTAGGCCTATATATATTTATTGTATTTATTCATCGAAAAAACCTCCAAACACGGAGAAGATAAAACACATTAAAAATACATTTACAGAATTAATTGCAAGAAACAAGGAAATCACATTTCAAATACAATATAAGCCTACTAGAGTAGGAAGGAAAGGCTTAGCCTGGAGTAGGATAGGGACTAGCCTAGGCCTAGGCCTCCATTATCTAACATCTTTCACACCAAACTTGTAAACTGCAACATTTCAGTTATAATTAACAGCTCAACATTCACTTGTATGTAGAGTGCTTTAGTGTCGGTTTTAGTGTCACTATTACTAGGCCTAGCGCATATATTATATTTTAATTCTTTATATTACATTTTAACTCTTTTAGGCCCTAGCGGCCTTAGGCCTAGGCCAGCTCTATACAAATTCCTCCATGTATATTATGCTCAGCAGACCGTCTGCTCAGTTTCGTCACACAATCAAGCATGGCGTTTTGTTTGTACAAGAAGCGCACATGGGTTTACGTAAGCCAGGACTAGGCCTAGCACTCTAAATGTAAACAAGATTATATTGTTTGCTGTATCCATGAAGCTATCTATAAATCCTTTCTAAGTTATTCGTACCTATAATAGCCACTTACACCTAATATAATTACCGTTTCTATCTTCAGTGTTCATCAGTGATGCCCCATTTATATGGGCCGCCGGAAATGCTTGATCTAGACCTCTGTGATGCGCGCTTTGACGCCAGCATCCCTATGAAATTCTTACAAAAAATCCTCTAGTCAGGAGGCATTTGTCATTTTTTTGGCCTTAGCCAAAATTTTTCAATTTTATTTGTTCAATGACACCACAACAAACAATTTTCAGCTTATTGTCCAATTTGTAGGAGGTATATTTGGTATACCAAAACGGACTTCGGTCATGTTCCAACTCCAGAGCAGGGTTGCCACAGATAGTCGACAGGCTTCACGGCCAAACACACGCCATCTCACGGCCAAATTCGGCCAAACTTTTTTCAATATCGGCCAAAATTCGACCAGATTTTAATCCGATTAGAAGACAGTTATGTAGGCCTAGGTACATATTCATTTGAAATACTGCAAAAATTACAGGAAAATCAGGGGCCGTTCGTTTGAAATTAAAGAAATTCAAATAATATACACAGAACAATGTTAAACTTCTTTTAATTAATCTATCACCATAAAATACATGCCCAGCTACATCATAATATTAAATAGCCTAGGTCCATGTTCTTTAGTTGCTGACGCCCGAAAATAACCTTATGCGTTTGTGCGATCAATTTTTCTTTTTTTCTTTTTTTTTTCACGACTCGCCTCTGAATGTTATTGTCGCAGAATTTAAAGCAATAAATCAATGTTGCTATCAGAGTTATCTTCTTCATTCTCTTATGCAACCTAACTCGACAGAGACTCTGAAACGCTTGCTTGAAATTGGAGGAGCCATCGAACCCGGATGAGCACAGCGAGCAATTATATATGGCGCTCTACATAAAGAACACTGCAGCACCTAGGGCTATACAATTCAAGTGGACAATAATAAATTAATTAAGTATAGTATTTAATTTATATTCAAAAGAAATTCATAAGAGATAGAACCTCCACTAGAATGGAACATATACAAAGACACACAGTATGGTGTGTCTTTATAAACTTGCATTGAACTGTCTTAAACGAGGATAACCTTCATTAAAAAAAATATATATATATATATCATCCGAACAATTTAAATTATTAAATGTAACTGTTATAAATTCGCCTAGTGGAAAACCAGCTTAACACGCGAACTTACTACTGCAATGAAGCAACTAAATGTTGTATAAATGAAAGCAATTTTAAATATGGGAAAATACGATTTTGGTGGTGAAGATTTAAAAACTCATAAAATGGTATTATTTGGAAGATTACCCTTGCATTTGGCTCCATTTATCCAGCTAGACGCAGTATACAGGACCACAAAAAATTAGGAATTCCGACCATGAAACAGGGAGTCGTCTTATACGCCAGACATACAAATATCAACCAAAAATCTTCTAAAACGTGTCGTCTTATACACGGGTCACCTTATAGGACCTACGCGAGTGTATACGGTATTATTACGGAACCCCTGCGGAAGTTCGGGTTCCCGTCACATTTTAAACGGTTGTGTTATAACAATAAACTCGCAAGACTGCTCGCGACTACTAGATTCTACAAGTGGTTTTGGTCGGAAAGGAGAAATTTTCTCTGTGAATTGATTCTCGAACGAGATAAAGAAAGCTCTCTAATGACTCAAGCTACTGTATACCGTTTTTATATTTTTAATAAAACCAATTTCTTCTAATTTTGAATACGTTTTCCCCTGATTTTGTGATAATTCGTTATCACGCAAGTGCTAAATGCGTGACACATTTATGATCTCGCATGTGTTTCTGCAAAATGCGTTTCATCCAATATCACTTTGAAGTGATGCGTGACGGTTGGTAACTATGGCATAGATAACTGCCGGGCCCTAGGTAAGGTAAAAATGCACCTGGTCGGACATAGAGACAGAGCCTCTAGTGGGGTATATTCAGGCGAAACTCTGAATGCTTATACATTCAGAGGTTTTTTAAAACAGATACGGGACGGCATTAACGCTCAGAAATATCTAAAACATATTTTGTTTAAAAAATTAAAGAATATTGAGAACAAACTATGGTCAAGTCATGTTATCGTTTAGGGCCTATTAAGCATTTCATGAATCTATGATATATTATAATATTGACAACATCAATAGAACACATAGGTGGAATTGTGTCCAACCCCTCGTGAAAATTTACTGAATACTCAGTACATGTGAAAACACTTGCAAAAATAGTACTCGCTGCTTATAACTTTGGCTCGAATTCAACCCTGACCCCCAGGTGCAAGCTCGGTGGTCTAAAGACATGATGCCAGGCTAGTGATCTGGAGAACGTGGGTTCGAGTCCCACTGGAGAACAACTTGCAAATATTTTTTGCAAGTGTTTTCACACGCACTGAGTATTCAGTACATTTTCACGACAGGTTGGGAAAAATTACACGTATAGCCCCCCTCCCCCCTAATTGATTCTTCTGGCGCAAATCCAGGTATTGTTTATTCCATCACGATAATAACAATTACCATTCAATAATAGAACAGTCATCGACCTACTTGCAGTGAAGTGAATCTAAAGTGTATTCATGAAGTTATGATGATCTGAAGTGTTTAAAAACGTACACAATACTAGTTGAACAAACTTTAAAATACCACAAATACGAATGTGCGTGACGATATTTTATTGCTTTAGAAATGATTTCAAAAAGTGTATTAGTGAATCACGCACTGAGAATTCAATACATTTTCAAGACAGGGGGCAAAATACATATAGGCCCCTAATTGATTCTCCTGACGCAAATCCAGGTATTGTCGATTCCATCACGATGATAACAATTACCATTCAATAATAGAACAGTCATCGACCTACTTGAAGTGAATTGAATCTAAAATGTATTCATGAAGTTATGATGATCTGAAGTGTTTGAAAACGTACACAATAATAGTTGAACAAACTTAAAAATACCACAAACACAAATGTGCGTGACGATAATTTTATTGCTTTAGAAATGTGATTTAAAAAAGTATATTAGTCCATCGTATACGTAAGGGCTTGTATTGTTGTTTTTTTCTACTTGCAGCGTTTGGGAAATAGGTAATAGGTAAATTGTAATGAATATAATCAATAACTATAGCCTCTAAAACCTAATATTATTGAAGGGTCCTTTTGAAGTTTGAATAGGATTTTTTAA